GTTATGTGCCCGATAGTGACCTGCATCCACTTTCGTAGGTGAGCCAGGGTTGTGACACTAGCGGAGCGCAATGGGTACGAAGGGGTTGGCACTCACAGCCATATGATGTTTGCTCACACGCGAACCTCGCGAGTCAAGAATGAACAGTTCTGGGTGCTGCGGTGGTTCTTCGAGGTCCAGAAAAGGCCTATCGCGGTGCGCTGCGTTGATTGCTCGGTGTTCGACGTGTCATTGAGAAGAACGCGCATAGGGCCAGACTCACGGAGAACCTCAATTTTACGCATCTTCTCACTTCGACATTTGGCAGACTCGGAGGTATGCCGAAGATATTTCTCCTTCATGTTCGAGAGATTTTGGATGCCTGTATCTCGATGCACGTTTTTTTTAACCTATGAATACGAGCCTCATTTTATACATTTTACTGTGCAGAGACCGCCTGTCGGAAAGCATCAGTGAACAAATGCACCGACCTCGGTACTTATCCTGCAGTGCAATTGCCCCATTTCTAAATGCAAGAACATGGACACCAGGACATGTGAGAATTTACGTAAATTTCCGATATGAAGTCTTGGTCATCAGTAATTAAACTGGTCCCGAGATTGACTTCGCGAGCACATCTAGATGATGCATCGTGGTCTCCTGACACCGCAGACAGTGGGCTGGACATGGCCAGTGAACTCGGCCAGCTAGGCCGGCGTGGCGGTTGTGTGGAAAGCAGCAAGGCGTGAGATGAATCGAAGGGTTCGGATAACACTCGGTTGGCACGAAGAGATGAACTCTGTGCCGCGTGTCACTCCTCGGACGCAGGATATGTGACACCAGATACCATGAGTTCTGCAGAACATTAATATTCTGAGTTTTAATTTTCGAGTTGGACGGGGGTGGTCTCTGCCTAGAAATTCACAAAAGCCTTTATCGAGGAACTTGAAGCTCCGTGCAATCCCCTTCCCCTCATTGTGCCACCATTCCCTGAAACGCCCCTGCTCTTTACAATGTCTCTAACCCTAGGACGGTGAGACTACCCCTCTGTACCTCGCTGCTGTGAAATGACGTGCACCCACCTGAATACACCAGCAGCACTCGAACACATCTTCCTAGCAAATGACACCTGACCATAGCGAAGCGCACCTAGAGCAGTGCAAGATAAGTGTCTGCATAGTTCATCTAGAGCGAGGTAAAATGAAGCAGACACACAGGAACATTTTAGAAGCTCTCAGTGATCGCACATGCAAGTCAACTATCACGTCCAAAGCACGTCGATTGCCGCCACCTGCCCCAACATAGTCACATGTGTGCGTTCAGCTATATGCCACCTGCTCAACGGTACGCATCTCCCGTGCATTCCAACATGCATTGTCACTCATCAGAAATTCGCCCGATCTGTGCGTTTCCCTACAGGATCAATATGGGTGCTATGAGCACATTCAAGCAAGTACCTTCTTCATCAGTGCGGGTAGGCGCGTTGGGATATTAGATTGCTTACATGTCTATACAGCTCCGTGGACGCGAATGGGCAAGTTCTTCAATGTGAACAGCGATCAAGGTCTGATGATGGCATCTGATATATTCAAGGTGAGTCATATCCATGACAAGATTTTCGCGAGCACTTACGCCGGCTCGCACCAGATCTAACATCATCTTCACGAACGAAGACATGAACAAACTATTAGAAGCAAGGAGACTCCCATGATAAGGTATGCACCGATTTCATACTTCGCGAGCTCTACAGCTGGCTGAACTTCTCCCCGTCGACCCTCGGACGTGAGCAGCAAACATCGTCTTTGCGAGCGGACTCATTCTATCAAGCATTCGACGATGCCATTTACACCCCCACATCCATACCGAGGTGGCTTGCCGGTGTACCAGTGGCCTGCTTCGCATGTGTGTCGCCAACCTCAGGTCGTCTCCTAGCCATGAACCGAACAACATGATTAGCAGGACAGACCCGATGCACATGAAGATTCACGGAGCCATACCGATGCTCCCGTATGATAATGCTGCAGGTTCGCGAGTGTGTAGCTCATACAGCCGACACGTTACCCGACCATCACTGGTTCTTCCGGAGCCCACATCTGGACCAAGGAGGCCCGCTCGTCCTCCACGGTTCATGACACCATCTGAGCTTCGTCCGAAGTCACGAACGTGTCAATACCATCAGCGCGATGGACTCACCGTGTACGACGAATCACGAGGCGTCACTTATAGCCGGTCCGCATGAGAGCAGCGCACACTGCTCCTGCTGCAGCAGCTGCCACAACTGGCTGAGCGGTCTTACATGGCTCGTCGCGACATCCTTGCCGGTACCGGGCGCTCACCTCGAGCTCTCAGCAACGCCTACCCACGAAACATCGCGCGATCTCGTCAAGAGCGTGCCTGACCATCATCATATCCCCCGGGTCATGAGCCTGACGACACGATCTGCTCGACCGTCAAAACGTCTGGCAAGACACGTCGGACCCAGCTTGCGCTCTCACACAAATGAGCGACAGGCTACCGGCTGTCTAGCTGGTGTCAGCGGATCTGCATCGTGCGCCCGCAGCGTCATTCGCGCAAGTTCGATACCCGGCGCATGCCTCGGAGATGTAACACGGTGGTAGATTGTCGACCAACATGTCGGCCTCCCAGGGACCTCGATTTTCCGCGTTCCCGGGATGTGCATCGTGCTCTGCTTCATGTTGCTCGCGAAACCAACCTACACGACCATCACTGCCATTCGCGACAGATTCTAGGACCAGGGTACAAACAAAACTCACCATCACGACATCAAACCTGCATGGTTTGTGTTAGCCCACACCAGATAACGGTCGCGCGGAGTCGTTGCACGCCTTGAAGCGGCCGCACATCCTCCAAGTCCGGCGCCCTCAGCATACTCGCGCGATGCCGACTGAACGTAAGCCATAGCGGGGCCATCCTTGCTTACCGTGAAGCTCGTGGGCATGCATGCGCCCATGTTGGCCATAGGTACGCCAA